AGAATATATGTTCTACATGGCAAAAGGCATGTGATTTGTACCTGAGAAAATCATGGATCCAATGGAAAAGCTGCAAAGACTTCTATCTGAAGGATGATTGAATCTCTTCCAGTGTTCTTCCTTTTGTTTCAGGGACCCATAATGCCACAAAAACCACTGTCAAAATGGCCACAGACATGTATATGGTGAAAGTCCCTGTTCAAATTGAAGTGACCAAACTCATTACAGGATTCAATTTTATACATATATACGAATATATAGACCTATATAGAGAGGGAGAAAGTGAGAAAGAGAGAGAGAGAGAGAAACCTGCAAGGCTCCAACTCAAAAGCAAGTTTGCAGTCATTGTGACTACCCAAGATGTCAGCCAGTTGGCCAAAGTTGCTATGCTCCCAGCAAGGCCCTTAATATTCACCGGAAGTATCTGAATGGGAAGATGAACCAAGACCAAGAAATCAGCCATAAAGAGTATCGACCCAAGAAGAACACAAGGACTCTTATAGTAAAATTAACTCAAACAAAACATAACTTACCTGCACGGGGTCAATGGACAACCAAAAAGTCTAATGGTCAAGGCTATGGACTTTTATTACACTGAAGAATGATGGTTAGTCTAAGGTCTCCCCAAGAGGAAGAGCCTACGCCATAATTTGTCACAATAAGGGCTGCAAGGACACAGGCCCCTTCTGGTTCATGAATCATATGACCGTTTACCTTTGGACTCAAACCAAGTTAAACCCTTCATTTCCATTCACATTAATCTAAAGAAGCCAAATATGAACTATCCCAACTGCAGCCCATACTTCCTAAATTCTCTCATGAAAATAAGTAATAACCCCTTGGAAAAGCAATCATTTACAATACTCTAATGGAACAAACTCATCTAAAATGATATTCACCTTCTATCATCAATGGAACAGTTCTTAGACTCTCCTAGGAACTAGACTAAAAAATTTGCCAACACAATTTTTTCTCGTTTGTCATCATCAAATAGCTTTGCATAAGAATCTCAATTACGTGGTAAAAGAAAATCCAGATTTTGCATACCTCAGACATTATGATCCAAGGAATAGCACCAACTCCCAGAGAGAAGGCAATCACATAGGCCTAAGATAAAACTTGATGATTAAGCTGACTGAAATCCTTTCTCACACTATAGAGAAGACGTATCAAATTATGTGCTGCAGTGATGCTTACCACAAGCCCAACAAGTGACAGCACTTCCATTATACTATACAAAGTAGAATCTTCTAAGAGACTGCCCTGTCACCATCAAGGAAAGAGAAGGAAGAAATCATTTAGGCAGTTGTAATAGATAATGGAAGACTTCTTCACGTAGGATTCCTGAGAAACAATAGTTTTTTACATTCATAAGATTCAAAGAATGTTACATAAGGTCAGTGACATCACAGACCTCCACATAAAATGCAACTGCAACAAGGAGCAGGCTAAGAGCCATTCCAGATGATGATATCTGCATAAGAGTTTTATGTTGTGATGTTACTTATTGTTTCCACTCCTGGCTGTGTATATCATTGAGAAAGAAGGGGAAAACTAAAGGGGGGAAGACGAAGTTAAGAATTTGGTCAAACACACCATAAGAAGAAGTTTACGGCCAGCTCTGTCCACCAACCATGTGTCAGACCAGT